AATACTTTGCTAGGAAGAAGAAAATCGTCACGTTCAATCAGCTTACCCGAAGGGGGAGCTCTAGGTTATAAGTGTGACTATGTTTTTTGCGCTATATAAAATGGCCTAGCGTTATACGCCACTGAGAACACTGAAAGGACCTGCGGTTTTAATGCGATTAAAGGAGACAGGCCCTAATACCGTCCCGACTGGCAACAAAGTCGTCTACCGGTGAGCAAATGGACGACCAAATCGCCGGTATGATAAATTTTAAAAAATATACATAGGCTTTAAATTAAAACCTTAAAAATGAGATTCTAATTAAAATTCGCACTCAATTTTTTTAGAGCCTGTCAGTAGTGTTTAAGGATGCCAAGAGGGCTAGACACGTGACATCACCATGTAGATGAACAATGGTTTTGTGTTTTAAATCGCATAACTTGTCTTTACAAATAATTTATTTTTCTGCTACTCAGTTAGGATCGGATCGATATGGAAGCACACGCGAGCCTTGTCCCTAGGAAACATTTAAAATTACAACAAAAGCAACAAAAGAGTCAGTGAGGTGAAATTGTGAAAACAATTATTGTACTAATACAGTAAAAGAACTAACCGACTGAAACAATGAAATGAAGTGATAGTCGGTAAGAATTATGTAACAAAATAGAACTTGCTATGACTGAAAAAACTATTTCGCCTAATATCTTGTTGGTGTTAGGGTTTTGAGAAGAAGGTTGAGAGAGTCGGAGAGGTGTAGAAACAATGATACAATGTTGCAATATCACTTGTGAAAACCATAAAATAGAACTGAGAGAATATATGAAGTGAGGAGGCGAACACACACACACACACACACACACACACACACACACACACATATATATATATATATATATATATATATATATATATATATATATATATATACATACAATCACACACACATATACATAAAGTCACACAGGACAACTCCGAGTTCAAAAGGTTAATGATTACATTTCCATGGTGTACATAAACTGTTGGCACGAAAACAGAAAATAACATACGTGGTAAATCTGAACAACTCTGAATATAAAAAGTTGTGTGAAGCAAACAATTACATGAAAATATTGTAATTAGATATAAGAGTTATGTTGTCCCGTGAAGGTCCCAGAAAAGGCCCATACAGAATAAGAATCAATATACAAATGATGAAATGAAAGAAAGAAAGAAAGAAAGAAAGAAAGAAAGAAAGAAAGAAAGAAAGAAAGAAAGAAAGAAAGAAAGAAAGAAAGAAAGAAAGAAAGAAAGAAAGAAAGAAAGAAAGAAAGAAAGAAAGAAAGAAAGAAAGAAAAAAAAAAAAAGAAAGAAAGAAAGAAGAAAGAAAGAAAGAAAGAAAGAAAGAAAGAAAGAAAGAAAGAAAGAAAGAAAGAAAGAAAGAAAGAAAGAAAGAAAGAAAGAAAGAAAAAAGAAAGAAACAACAAACAAAGAAAGAAAGAAAGAAAGAAAGAAAAAGAAAGAAAGAAAGAAAAGAAAAAGAAAGAAAGAAAGAAAGAAAGAAAGAAAGAAAAGAAAGAAAGAAAGAAAGAAAGAAAGAAAGAAAGAAAGAAAGAAAGAAAGAAAGAAAGAAAGAAAGAAAGAAAGAAAGAAAGAAAGAAAGAAAGAAAGAAAGAAAGAAAGAAAGAAAGAAAGAAAGAAAGAAAGAAAGAAAGAAAGAAAGAAAGAAAGAAGAAAGAAAGAAAGAAAGAAAGAAAGAAAGAAAGAAAGAAAGAAAGAAAGAAAGAAAGAAAGAAAGAAAGAAAGAAAGAAAAAAGAAAGAAAGAAAGAAAGAAAGAAAGAAAGAAAGAAAGAAAGAAAGAAAGAAAGAAAGAAAGAAAGAAAGAAAGAAAGAAAGAAAGAAAGAAAGAAAGAAAGAAAGAAAGAAAGAAAGAAAATACATACATTTTTTACTATAAATAGACTACCCCAATAATTCTAAAGCAAGCGGTATGGTGATACAAACTACCCCTATTTAACAAAAGTAAAATTTTTTTTTTAAACCAAACAAGCTAAAACAAAATAAAAATAAAAGCTAACAAGCCCAGCCCCCCCCCCCCCCCCCCCCCCCCCCAACCCAACCCCACCCCCGTAGAGCATTTGATGGACTGAAGCAATTAGTGATAAAGTCTGTTGTTAATAAGGTGAAAAAATTAAAGTAGACGAAAGACTACAGCTACGAAAGGGGACCAGAAGAAAACAATTGATAATTAAAAGACTGAAACAATGGAAAGACTCAAATAGGCTGAAGCAATGGAAAGAGTATGTGAGGTGAAATTATGAAAATGATTGATGGGCTGATCGAACTAAAATAATTAATCGGCTAAAATAATGAAAAATTTATGGGGGGTGGGGGTGGGGGGGGGGCACATCTTAACAAACAACAAGGGATAATTACTCAAAGCAAACGCGAAACCTAATTTTAAACTCTTTGCAGAAAATACACAGATTAAGTAGAATACACGGTGCATTTAAAAAAAAATCACAATGTACCCTCCAAACTTTCTAGTTCTAATCAATCTTATTGACCGAGAATATTTATTTTTGCAGTGATGTCTAGTAAAATATTTCTATTTCTATTTTAGCGTCTTTGTAGCCATCGTCTGGAAATCCTTACATAAAACTGGGTCAAGAGAATCCGAACAGCTTAAAACGCATGCAGTATTTAATGTAACCTATGAAACCACAACAAAAGAGTAGCAAACTGCTCAAAAATGAAGACTGACACAATTTCGTTAACCCAAAAATAACAGTGTTCCTCGCAGACACAGACATCGCTTGTGGCATTTCTTTTGATTCTGTCAATTCCTGATTAAAAATTATACCGTTCTTTACCAAGTTGGGTTGATAGTAATTATAGGTAATGGCATGGAAACAGCTAAAGCAGCAATTGGCTCAGAAAGACATATCCGGTAATGTTAGTTTCAGCTCCTGTGCCAAAGAAAAACACAAAGAATGTCCATCACTGTTCCTCTGTGAAAAAGTTAACAAAGACTACAATATAAACATATCCACTAGCATTCGTGTGCATAAAAAGCACAAAGCAGTAATCTGGAATGCTAACACAAACAGTCCAATTTTAGAAATGCAGTTCAACATCGACGGAAGCAGCAGTTTAGAAACAGATCAGTAGTTACATTAACAATTAATTAGAACCCGATTAGACACTCGCTCTTTTCTGAATCTACAGTTAACAGCACCATGTTGGTCACAGTTCAAAAACATTCCAATTCAAATCCGCAAAATGCACTTAACTCAGCAAAACACTATATCCATTTAGTCAAAAATTGGAGGAATATGCAACGATCACTGTCTGCAAGAAGCAAAAAAAATGTCCCCGACTAAAAACAGTGAACGCGGCTATCCTCAATTTTGATCTGAGGTCGCAGAGACACACACACCTGGAAAGGGCTGACTAGCTAAGGAATTTAATGACTAAGGTGTCGTCTCAGCAATTACCGGCTGCAATGGATCCCTGAAACGACAAGAACGTATTTCATCTTGTACACTTTCTCATATAGTTGATCGCCCATCTTGTTAGGTTATCTTCCTCTTTTTCGCTCGCCATAATAGTTTCTCTCCTGCATAGGATTTGTAAGGTGAGGTTACAAAATCTAAAACCTAACAGGATCAACAAATCTTGCATGATACACAGTGTTGCTTGCGCGAATGTGTGCGACAAGAAGCAAAGATATTAGCGCAACCGACAATAGTGCTAACATTTTTTATGGATCGATTTTTGCTAGACAAACGATGTGGTCAATCCAGCGCAGGTAGCGTTTTATTTCAGAGACATTTCTTTCTGGCATAGAGTTTATTCTAGTTCTTCCTAGGTCAGTTATGAAAACCCACCCTTGTGTGTTTCAATGTTTGTATGTGTGTTCCGTCGGCTCTGTGGCTAAGCCGATGCGAACATATCGCTTCGTAATGCCGGGATGCCGGGTTCGATTCCAGATGCGGGCAATGCGCCTTGCGTTGGTTTCGACAGTGGTATCAAGAAAGCCGACCGTCCAGGAAGCAATGGCAAACTACTGGACGTAAATTTGCCTAGAGAAACCACACAACAGCCAGGGGCATTTGGGGTTGGTTCTGCAACGTCCTGTAAATGATACGCAACAACCTTTTTTTTTAAAATGTGTGTTCCATTCTTCTTCTGCCTTCTGTTCGCCTGTGGAGCATAACCCGTCATCCAACTCACACCAAGTCGTTCTATCCGTCGCTAATGCATGAAGCTCTCCTCATGTCGTTCCCATCTTTTTAACGTCACGCTTTAGCGTGTATTCCATTCAAATAGGAGAAGCATGCTGGTTGAGGAAACGAGAACATCCTACAGAAACTATAAGACATAATGCTGAGAAGAAAGGCGAAACGTGTTGAAGTGGATTCAATCCATTATATATATTTAAAAAAAAATATTGCACAATCTAGAACGAACTAGGAGAGCCCTAATTGACTATAACACCAACACATGATAATGATGATACTGCTAATTGATTATGTTTGTGTTTATTAAACGGATCAGCAACATGGCATACGGGTGTAATCCATAAATACTCCGTCCTTCTTCTAACTCGAGCCTGAGTCTGAAGAATCTCAGCGCAATGCACGAACTCTGTTGCACCGGCGAGGATCCTGAAATACTTTAGTAGATTTTTAACTCTAATTTTTTTGCCGGGCAGCGCCGCTCTTTTCGATTTCCAACTGTCAAGGGGTTTTTAAAACGTGCCCAACAATACACACGGGCGTCCGATCTTACTACCGAGAGACCAGGGAAATTACTAGAAGTCTACTTGAAAAAAAATCGTAGTCTTCACTGGGACCCTTGACCTCTAGCACTCATGGCGGACACCATACCTCGGGACCACTTAGCTCCCCGATGTTGATGATGGTGATGATTTGTGTGTGTATCATATGATACTAACATTATTATGTTCTCTGCTATGTCTATAAGTTGACAACGTGTCTAAATACGCATTTACATTTATGTTCACTTTCAGTTTCAAGAGTCTTGCAAAATCCTGTACATGATATCCCGCTATTCACTGACGTGCAACTGTTTTTGGATGTCACTAGAAGGCTTTCATCTGCACCGGCTGATCAACCAGGCCTTCAAAGCCCCTAAATCAATCCTAAGCTATTATTTCGTTGGCTGGCGTAAGTATTAGCTCTCTCTTTGTGTTATTGTTACATACTTTTGCTGTCTCTTTTCATCATCATCAAGTACCCTGCCGACTGGCGTGGGCTATCATGCTTCTTCACAATATGCGATCTCTAGATGTGTGTATAAGTTAGTGTGTTGACACCTCTCCATGCCATTAAACAATAAAAGCTGAGAAGAATCTTTTCTTGTTGTCTTTACACAGATCTTTCCAGTGCCCACAACATATTCCAGTTTCCTTCTTTTCACACATGGCCAAAAAAGGATGACGGTTTCTCTCTTAGATCCACCTCCACCACCATTCGTCCCCCTATCCCCATGGTATCACCCCCCCCCCCCATCGCCCCCGCCCTTTCTATGTTGATGATCACCGGTCTTGTCACTATACTGTCTCGGCTATGCCTAAATATTTCATCTGTATACTAGTTATAATTTCTTTTCGTGTTTATTCATTAGTATATATGTGGAATTTATAATCAGGTACACATGAGAGCGGCTCTATGCATGTCTGTATCCAAATATATTTGTTTATGAGTATATTTGCAAATATTTTAATTTTGGTATAAATATGTGTCATCGTGACTATCTGTGTTATTAGATTTCTTTATAAGGCCTATGTGTGAATCTTTGCGTCCTAGCGTGCAAATTTGGGCAATTAATTAATAGCAGAATGTTAAGATATCCGTTCGTTGCACCCGGTTTGCTTTGACTAGCTTGGTCTCTCTGCGTAGGTCCACCCACAGAAAGGTAGCTAAATAACTAGCTCTGCAGCTCCAGTAACTACCTCTAGGTCCGTAAATAAGTGAATTTTATAATATAAAATAGACTGCTTATGTGAATTTCCTGGGTGCTGTGATGTCGATTCTTAATTTAAAAATAAAAATTTTATAAAATATAATAAGTCCATAGGTACCGCTGATTGAAATTGCGGATTATTTTCGTATTTTATGCGGAAGCGAGGGGGAGGGGAAATGGGGAGAGAGAGAAGATCGAAATGGATGTCGCAAATAGAGAAAATATGAAAAAACTGATTAAAAAAAATTCTGTACACAAAGAAGCGAGTTTAGTGGCCGTAGATAAGGATCAGACTATAAAGATAGTAAAGAGATAGAATCCAGGTAAACCATCAAATACTTGGAAACACCAATAAGAAAGAGGGTGCCAATCAGAAAGGTGAATGTTGTCGGCTGATATCTATAGCAATGAATCTGTAAGGCTCGCAATGTTGAAGAATACACACATACACACATGTATGTATGTATGTATATATATATATATATATATATATATATATATATATATATATATATATATATATATATATATATATATATATAAAATCAATGTTTGTGTGTTTGTTCATGAGCTATAGACTCGAAAACTACTGAATAGATTTAGCTGAAATTTTCAGGAAATGTTTGTTTTTTTTTACTGGATGTTTACCCATCATGGTTTGAAATTCTACATGTCATTGTTAGAGATAGTTGACCATATTTGTTGCAAAAAAAATTGATTTATATATATATATATATATATATATATATATATATACATATATATATATATATATATATATATATATATATATATATATACTAGCTGTACCCGGCCACGCGTTGCTGTGGCGTAATTTGGCTACATGGAAAAAAAATAGAGAACATAGAAATGAGTCTTCGCTTCAGGCTAGCGATGTACAGTGCAACAGCTAAACCACAGCTAATAAAAACTTTGAGTGGGTAAGGCAGTTACTGTAACTTAAATATATCATTTATATATATATATATATATATATATATATATATATATATATATATATATATATATATATATATATATATATATATAGAGAGAGAGAGAGAGAGAGAGAGAGGTAGCTTTAAACGCTCTTGACGTATTAGTAAATAGGGTAGGCTGCACCATTGTAAAGAACTAAAAGCCCCGACCTGACGTTAGCCAACCATATTCCGACGAGATGTCCTGCTACCCGCATTAGCCAGGGTCGACTTAGAACTCCGGTAAGACATGCACAAGTAAATACAGGGTAGAGGACAAGCGGCCTGATTCGGATGGAAGCATCAAGCCCAGAAAGGACGCAAACAATAGAATTCAGTCACGAAAGTGACCACAAATATAGGCGAAGACTTCTAACAGCCTCGGCTAGCTAGCAGCAGTCAGAAAGTGGTCGAGCTTTTTTTTTTTCTTTCTGAAAAGGCCTTGGACTTGGACTAGAACTCCGGTAAGTTATTTCAATTCCGCATTGACGTAGATTCCTATCTAAGATATTCGGTTCCAAGGCAAGTTATTAAACACTGCGCTGCAGCGGCTTCTGTCCCCGACAGCTCTTCGACATAAACGTATGAACCTCTTGTTTTCTTAAAACGAAAAAACTCTTCTGCCGCCTGTAGAATATTGCCATGCCGATGAATGACGGCGGAGAAGGTCATCAATCTGAGGGTTTAAGGTGGCAGGGTTCGCCCAGTCGCCATGATGATATTTTTATTTTTGCTTGCTTTTGTCGGGGAGGGGGTGGGGCGGTGGGATAGGGGGGGGGGGGGGAATCATTCCTAGCGTTGACTTAACTTATGCCTCCCAGAGCAGAGGAAAGAGCTCTAGCCACTTGGTCAGCTGCTCCTATTAATTTATCTACTTGCTTTACAAGTATGTCTTAGCCTTTTTTTTTTTTTTTTTTTTTTTTTTTTTTTTTTTGCACCTCTATCCCCCCCCCCCCCCCCTTTTTTTTTAAAAATAAAGTAAAGTTGGCATGAAGCCATTTTTTTAAAATAAGTAAGGACCACAAACTAGATAAAAACAATACTTTATTAGAGAATTAATTTGAATATCAAATTCTGGGTGCAAGACTAATTTCTCTTCCTATATCTCGTTTGGATTTGTAAATCCACTCAAAACTACAAAATCTATCTCTGGAGTACTCACAGACTCAATCATTCAGTCTCTTAAACATTGCCCCTATGTCTGCCGTTTTATCTGCCTGTCTTTCAGAATGTTCCCAGCAAAAACAGCTATAGCGATTCAGCTAACTCCGTATAATTATTTTTGTAGCATCGATCATCGCATCCTCTTGTGGCGATAAACGATTTTTGATTTCCCAGTCAATCACCTAACAAGCCATAATGAAACAAATGATTCGTCTCCCAAAATATCCACACGTTGAACATCTAACAGGAAGCCGTCGTGGTGTAAAGGCTAAATGCTCACCTGCGGATACGTGGGTTCGGGACCTGGCTAATACGGACCTTGTTTTCAAATGAAAAGAACATAATTTTGACATTCAAAATCTGTGTAATCTAATGAGTAAAACTGTTCAAACTGGACGCAAGAATACCTTGCGGCTCAACCAATCAGTTGGCTGGGTTATTTACAGTGTTCAGGTGTTGTGGCTTTCCGTTCAACTAATGAACACTATGTAAATTGTTGATTAGGCTAAACACGATGCTTTACTTAAATAAAATCGTTACGTGCACCCAGCATCCCCAACTAGGTTATGTACGCCATACAAAATAATTGGCTTTGTATTGCTTACCACCAAGGAGCGCTGAAAAAGAACTCTTGCAGTGTTAATATTTTTACTGGGGCAGACCTAAATATTGTCCAGACCAGCGGAGAAATCGTCTACCGGCCAGCCAGTAGGTGACCCGGTCGCTCTAGCCCTTTCGCTCGTTTATCTTTTTTTTTTTTCCTCCTAATGTGGATAATCAGTTCTTTACGTAAATTAATTTATGTCTAGACTGTTGAAATTAAATTGTCATAAATTCCTAATGTGTGACACAGTATGTACTTCATGTTTATCAAAAGTTAAGATTCTGTTTGTACACCAGGAAAGGCTTATGGTTATGTGGTGTTAACCACACATTTTTGTTAGCATTAAGACAGCCGGCGTAATGCTGACCACATCACCCACAGAGTGCTGATGGTCTGTAAAAATATGGGACGCTCTGCCCATATGCCCAATGCGCCTAAAGGCATGAAAAGGGATCTTTCCTTTTTTTTTTAAAAATGTGTGATGGGAATTTGTATCACGCATGGGATTGGTATCACGCATGGGATTTGTATCACGCATGGCTGATTTTATCCTTTCGCTAAATTGTCTACTACCCACATTAATTTAAGTAGACAGACAAAACAGTGTGGTTGCCTGTCTGTTACAGGACGCAGCAGGACCAACCCTAGAATTCATTGGCTGTTCATGATTTTTCTAGATGGAAGGATAACATCAGAGAAACTCTACAACAGCACGATGTGCCTATTGTCGAGGCGGCCAGAAGAGCTAGAAACAGAACCTTATATCTCCCTCGAAACCCACAGCGGTAAAAGAGGAAGTGAAGAAGAAGAAGAAGTGTGTCACTGCCACTGTGTGGTCGGCTAAAGATATAACTGTCGAAGACAATGCAACACTGTCTGCTGTCAAATCGTCCGCAGCTGGGATCGAATCAGGCACTGCGGAATCCTGAGTTTACAACACCTAGGCCACTGACGCTGACAGAATAGGAAATTAGTTTGTGACCCCCTGCCAACCCTCCCCCAAGCGTTCATGTCATAGGTAAACTGATTATGTGGTGCTGGAGTTATTTCTGTGAAGACATATAGACGCTCAACAAGGGATGAGGCTACATCATGCTGGGTGTAGAACCCAGTTTAACCTTAAAATAACATCGTTGCCGGTCAGGACAGTAGTTAAGTCTGTCTCCCTTGATATTATCAACACTACAGGAGTTCTTTTCAGAGCTTTCGTAGCGTGCAAATGCTAAGACATTTTATATGGCGTAAAAAACCTGGTGACAACTGTAATGTAAATTTTCCCCTTCGGGAATGCTGACTGAACGTAACGCTAACAAACCTGGTCACAACTGTAATGTAAATTTTCCCCTTCGGGAATGCTGACTGAACGTAACGCTAACAAACCTGGTCACAACTGTAATGTAAATTTTCCCCTTCGGGAATGCTGACTGAACGTAACGATAAAAAAAAAAATTTTGTTTAGC